CAAGTAACCCATATAACCCAACTGATCAGAGGTGGACTTATATCAACTTTTTACTTTCTAAATAATGGTAATATGTTAGTTCGACTAGTACCAGTCGAAGGGGAGCATTTTTGGGCGAGTCCCCCAAGTAACCCACATAACCCACATAACCCAAGTAACCCATATGACCCAAGTAACCCTTATAACCCAAGTAACCCAAGTAACCCAATTAACCCAAGTAACCTTAGTAACCCAAGTAACCCAATTAACCCAAGTAACCCATATAACCCAAGTAACCCATATGACCCAAGTAACCCATATGACCCAAGTAACCCTCATAACCCAAGTAACCCAAGTAACCCATATAACCCATGTAACCCATATAACCAAAGTAACCCATATAACCCAAGTAACCCAAGTAACCCAAGTAACCCAAGTAACCCATATGACCCAAGTAACCCAAGTAACCCAAGTAACCCATATGACCCAAGTAACCCATATAACCAATAAAACCCAAGTAACCCATATGACCCAAGTAACCCATATTACCCAAGTAACCCATATAACCTTAGTAACCCAAGTAACCCAATTAACCCAAGTAACTCAAGAAACCCAAGTAACCCATGTAACCCAAGTAACCCATATGACCCAAGTAACCCAAGTAACCTTAGTAACCCAAGTAACCCAATTAACCCAAGTAACCCATATAACCCATATAACCCATATAACCCAAGTAACCCAAGTAACCCAAGTAACCCAAGTAACCCAATTAACCCAAATAACCCAAATAACCCATACAACCCAAGTAACCCATATGACCCACGTAACCCATGTAACCCAATTAACCCATATAACCCAAGTAACCCAAGTAACCCAACTGATCAAGGGTAGACTTATAACAAATTTTTACTTTCTAAAATAATGTTGATATGTTAGTTTGACTTGTACCGGTCAAAGGGAGCATTTTCGGGCAAGTAACCTAAGTAATCCATATAACCCAGATAACCCAAGTAACACAAGTAATCCGAAGTAACCCAAGTAACCCCAAGTAACCCAAGTAACCCAAGTAACCCCAAGTAACCTCAAGTAACCCTAAGTAACCCAAGTAACCCATGTATGCCAACTGATCAAGGGGAGACTTATATCAAATTTTCATAAGCGCAAAAGAGAAGTACAAAAAAAATGGTTAAATCTCAAAAATCTAATTGGATAAAAATTCTATTCACAATCATGTGGCACAGGATTTTGAAATCATAAGATATCAAAGATGAATCCTGGACTAATTCCATTGATGAAAGATACGAGAAACATGTTTTTTGTTGTAAAAATATTTGTAAAAACATGATTTTACATTAAAAACAAAAAATTTGAATAACAAGTTTTTAATCAACAGGATTTAACATAGGTGTGTGGCCTTAATTGACTGTTGGATGGATGGAACAGATACTTTTGAATGTTCCATGGGCCCTTGATTATGATATTGTTCTTATTTTTACAATAGAGTAAATGAAGTTTATGAAAAAGTAAAATTCTATTAAAAACTGGAAAAAGTAATCTCATCTATACAAAAGGCATGAAAACGAGGATGGAAAGAGATCAATTTTACAGAGAAAAAGATGACAAAAAATCGTCATTCATACAAAGACGTTTTTTCTCTACATTCAAATGTTCGAAAGCTCTCTCAATTTTTCCTTCCTAAATTTCAGTTTTTTGAATTCCCCTCTCGTGGGCAATAAGTAGTAGCTGTCGATGATACTTGAGATACTTTGTGAGCAAAATTTTCGAGGTCATAAACGCCTATTCCTGAAAATATCGAGAAAAGATTTTGATGACTCTAGATATAACAATAAATATTCAGATGGTAGTAAATAAAAATTATATTAATGCCTGAAAAGAAGAAGACAAATCGTGACTAAGCAAACATAGTAAATTCTGCATTCATTTGTGGAAAAATTTTTTTTTACTGCTACTAAAGGTACTTTAACAAATCCATGGGGGCCTTGTCGACGTTATCGTTCTTATAGTTGATAAGCACGATGATATACTTAGTGTACTAATCTTTTCATTTAAGTAAAAAATCAAATAGCACAGTCAAAAAGAGCGACATTTCTTTATGATATGGACATCTCCTGTCGAGACCCTTCGACCTCATCATTTTCTTAAAAAAATTTGAAAATCTTTAAATCCAAACTACAATTACAGAATTACCCAAACATGCATTTTTTTCTAAAAATAGCATCAAGAATTGTATGTAAATTGATTTTTTTCAAATTAGAAATCTACAGCACAGGAACAGTGTGAGAAGATTGCAAAATATGACAAAGCCATTAATAATTAATAAAAAATGATATCGCTAATCAGTGAGAGTTAGTCATTTTAAAAAGCGTCGCGGGAAAGCCTATTTACGAAGAGAAGGAGGGCGAAAGAAAGAGAGGGAGAGCGCAAAAGCGCGACGTAGTCAAGGTAGTAAATTTTTATAGAACTATCGGCACTTAAGAATCACGAACGGACCAGAAGTGGACTCCCCGCTGACTACCGTAACGATGCTGTACGAGCCGTAGACGGCGCTCGCACGCAGAGATCGGTACCGCGGAGACCAAGCGCCGGATTTGGCTTTTGCAATGTTTGCACTCGCGCTCACGACTACCGTACAAAAAAATACTTTAGAAAAGAGTCCGCGCACTACAAATGTCTCCGTATGAATAGTAAATTTTCTCCCCAACTTCGAAAATTCCTACCTCATTTTATTTATGACACGCGCGTTTTTACGATTTTCAAAATCCGCCTACATTTTGCTGAATTTTTTATTATAATAGCTTATCCCTTTTATTCGCTTCATTCGTTCTAGTTTATAGTAGTGAATATTATGATTCGGATTCGACAAGCTAGTCCTTGCTTTAAAACACACTTCCTTTTTTTTCTTGCTTTGCCGTGTGCGATCTTTGAATACACCGTGTGTCCGGCGCCAATAATAAACGGCAGTCATTTCTTAGAACGAATGATGCTTCTTCATAGCGATAATGCGCCATAGCTCATATTGGTCAATATGTATTTTAATTTTTTATATAGCTGTACCGACGATTCTTTTAATATAGCCAATAGAGGCTACTGTGGGAACTTTTTTCTCCTTCATCATATTCAACTTCGTGCATTTAGAAACAATTCGAAAAATATTATGACTAATCATATCTTGAAACTGAACTGAAAAAAGTGATGTGTCAAGAAGAAAAAATGTGTTTAGATTTTTTATTTTTATTATAACGTCCGACGACGTTATTATCAAAATTATGTTTATTTTATAAGCTTTAGCTATTGAAGATTGAATTTTTAGATAAAAAACTTCAATACTTTGTAATTAAAATTGAATCGAATTGAATAAAATATTTGGGTTCGATTATTATATTTTACTTAAACGTAAAAATCGATTTTTAAATTCGTGTACTTGTTTTAGCATTGGTGAGTAGTTTTAAAAAAGTGTAAGATAAGGTTGTATAATTTCTACCGATTTAGATGATTTTATGTATGAACACACCTGTACAAAAAGAGGTCGAAGAGACAAGGTAAGATGTTGCGTGTATGCTCCGGAAACATTAAAGCTCAATCTTAGTATTAACATGCTCGTCAGTTAACGCAAGAAAAGTAAGCAAAAGAGAGCAAAAAGCGTAGATTGAGATAGAGAGACAGAGAGAATGAGCGAAAAAGAGAACGAGAGGAATAGGCTATTACGCGTATGCCTCGAGAGACTTGCACTTGAAGAATTGGCAAAGGTATACTCGCGTGTACTCGCATGTATATGCGGGTGAAGTGAAGTATGTGATAAAAGGAGAAACAGAAAAGAAGAAGCTGCGAGTGAAAAGTCAAAGATGAACGCAAAGAATAAGAAAGATAAGGGCAGACCGAGAGAAGCAGAGAGTAAGACGAGAAAAAAAAATGATCGAGTATGTATATATTTAAGCTCGGTATTATAAGTAAGCCGGCGTAGAAGACGACGACGACGACGGCGACGACGACGACGAAGAAGAAAAAGAAGGTGGGGCAGCAGCGGAGTGCGCAGTGTATATGGTGACGCTGCCGAGCGGCGTGTACTCGGTGCGCAGCCTCGCTGTAGCTGACCCCTGACCCGACTTTCAGAGCAGGTATGTGCTGCACTAAAAGCTGCTACGCTACATGCATCTCTGCGTATGTATCGCTGCAGCAGTCCAGTCTCTTTCTTGGCTGTTGCTCGCTTCGTCTCTGTCTCTCTCTCTTGCTCTTTCGCTCTCTCTCTCTCTCTCGCGCGCGCAGCGAACATGGCGCGTGGGCGAGTGGGGCCGGGGCCGCGTGTTGGCCCGCGGGCGTCTTGGGACCGTGAGAACAGTACCTTCATAATATTATTTCGTCTGCCAGCGCAGCGCAGCGCGCCTCGCCTCTTACCGACTCCCACCAGGTAGCCTCGCAACGCTAACGGTTCTCTCGCTCCCTCGCTCGCGCACATCTTTTTCTCGGGCCTCGGCGTATAGGCACTATACACTCTCGGCACTCACTCGGCAGTACGCGCGCATTACAGTGAATTTCACTGCAGCCGCGTGAGCGTGAGCGGCAACGAGCGCACAGACTGCGCGTTAATTGCTATCGTAAATTGTTGTGGTTTCACGAGCTTCGCGGCCCAAAAAATAGCCTCGCTCGGCGCATACAGCTCGACTAGCCGGCCGGGGAGCAGCAGTATACGGAGCCGCTGTGCTGCAGGTCAGCTCTCTCGCGCGCGCGAGCAGGCCCCAGAGCGCTGGCTGGCCAGCCCGTCTCTCCGGCGGCCTCCCGCGGTCCCCGTCGGTCCCCGCCAGTCCCCGCGGACCGGGGCCACCTGCCGCCAGGTGGCTCCACTGGCTGCCGCCAGTCTCGGGGCCCGTCTGCAGTCGCAAAAGCGCTCTGGCAGCAGGAACATCGCGCTAGTCCGATCAGTGTTGTACGCGGGCCGTTCCGATGCCGGCGCGCAGCATCTGCCGTTCTCTACGCTGCCGCTTTCTAGCCGCCGCTCCCCAAGCATGCAGCAAGACAGCAGTAGTCAAGTCGCGAATCCGTCGACGGAGTCGGAGCCACAGCAGCAGCAGCAGCAGCTGCCGACGGACCTCGAGCCCGTCGCCGTCGCCGGTAGCTCGCAGCAGGCACAGGCCTTCTCCAATCTCACCCTGCAGAGCGTCTCGCTGCGCTTGCAGACGGCCCTGCTGGCCGCCTTGCAGAGGGCCGCCCTGCTGCCGCCCGGCCACGCAGCGGCGGCCGCTCTGAACCTCCAGGCCCTCGAGACCTACGTCACGCTGCATCGGCTGCACGCGGTGACCAACAGTGCCAAGCCCAGCAGCGCCGAAGCGCTCCAGACTCCCGCGGCCGCTCAGGCCGTCGAGGACGACGAGCCGATCGATTTCGTCGCCGCCGCCGCCGCTGCCGACGCTGCCACTGCCGATCCCGAGGACGATCTCGCTCTGCTCGATGACGACGAGGCCGCGGTGGAATTCTTACACGAGACCGCCTCGACTTCGGGCAGCAATGTGATCTTTGGCCACGAGTTGCTCTTGCAGCCTACGAGTCTAGCTCTCGGTGCGTTGAGCCCGACAGTTGGCGGTCAGCTGGCCCCCAGCGAGGCCACCTCGCCCACTCTGCAACCCATAAGGGCCTGCAGAACTGCCCGACCGAAAAAGCAATTCATCTGCAAGTTCTGTAATCGACAGTTCACGAAAAGTTACAATCTGCTGATTCACGAGAGGACGCACACCGATGAGCGACCTTACTCTTGTGATATCTGCGGCAAAGCGTTCCGTCGGCAGGATCATCTCAGAGATCACAGGTAATTTTGCACGCTCGTTCACTCGTTCTTTCGGTACAACGATACAGTGCTCGGCAATCGATAATCAAACTCCTCGCCATCTTTCATTATTCTCGAGTAAATTATTACTATTCGTGTTGTGTTTATATTTCTATGTTAAAATCTTTTAAATTTTTCATAAAATAGCATCTATCTAGAAATTTTTTTTGTTTCACTCAACCCAACGCTATAGAAATTTGAATATTTTTTACATGATTTTTGATACATGAAAATTCATCTTATACTCATAACCCTATACTAATTAAAGAAAGCATTTTGTAGATCGAATAAATAATGATGATAAATCAAGAAAATAGTTCAAATTGCGAGTAAAAAATATACTTTTCACGAATTTAGGTACATTCACAGCAAAGAGAAACCGTTCAAGTGCAGTGAATGTGGCAAAGGATTTTGCCAAAGTCGCACCTTAGCTGTGCACAAAATTTTACACATGGAGGAGTCGCCACATAAATGCCCAGTGTGTGCTCGTAGCTTTAATCAACGTAGTAATCTCAAGACGCATCTGCTGACCCACACCGATATCAAGCCGTATCACTGTGGATCCTGCGGCAAAGTATTCAGACGTAATTGCGATCTAAGGAGGCACTCGCTCACTCACAATTTAGGTGTCATGACAAACACATCGCCGCCAGCCTCGCCGAGGCTCTTGTCACCTACGGTAATCACAGTCCCAGTCTCAACAGGTAGTCTGCTGCAGGAAACATCCTAGAAAATTCTTAGGGAATTTCGTTTGACGACAATCGACTTGTTAGTTTAATATCGTTTATCGGTTGTTTATACGTTGCCGAGTGATTTTGCAAACGCATCAGAAATGTATTTTTATAAAAAAAAAAAGTAATATCTTAGTTACATTCTAAAAAGATTATTGTGATAAATAAATTAAAAATTTTAATGAATAAGGATCATGCCGAAAATTGATTGGAATTTATTTTTCGTGTTGCTACTATTTAGATTATGAATTGATGGGTGGATCAGGTAAAAATAAAAGATTTTTTTTACTAACTGGAGGTGTTCTGCAAACACTCGAATAAACGACGAAGAAACGACGTATAGATTCGAAACCCGCTTTGTAAAAAACTTGAAATTTATTGCCGATTAAATATTTTTCTTTTGAGACGCTGTATAATACTCTTAACTTTACTGAAGTCATGTTGTTGAACTTTCATCTCAGGAACACCATAAATAGCTAGTTTTATCCTCGGACGTTTTCTGTTATCATCTCGACGGCTTTAAAAGGCACACGTGTGTAGATTTGAGCTTATCGATAGAAGCGTGTAATTAAGAGTGTGAATGTTACGAATTACGAATATATCACGTGATATGTATGTATTTTTAATAAGTTAGTGTGTAAAAACATTTCATCCTTCGTTGCATCAGCATATGAATTGCATATTATTTTTGTATCGTCATCATCATATTATTACTTTTATTTATTATCAAAGAGGTGAATCGAAACTGCTGCACTGATTCTCACTCATTGACATTGTCTTTTTCTCTATCATTCAAAATTATAATTTTATGTACATATATTTTTTATTTATATTTATATATACGCATTTGTATATGTACGAGCGTGATAAGTAATATATAAGAAAATAGAAATAAAGCAAACATTACATAATAAACTGGTAAATTCCTTGTTTGATTTCTCTATGAAATAAGATTCCTCCTATTTATAAACTCATTATTTTACATTTCTATCGGTGAAATTGACATCAAAACACCAAAAAACTATCTCCGATCGAATAAATATAATTAGATAATTCCCATAGTAAATCGAAGAAACAAGAAAACCTTTTGACGTAAGCACAAAAGATTTATCTATTTCGTTCCATCCACATTAAATTAATAATTTATCTGTACTTCTTAAAGCTGGAGTTTGCACTCGCATGCGTACACATATAGTGTGTACGAATGCATGTACGTGCGTACGTGTGTAACTATGCATCAAACTTTGATGCCAGCAGAACACGCATATTGTGTTACAAAGAACTAACCGCCTAGGTGTTTGCGGACATGATACCATAACACGATTAGGGTTACCTTTGACTCTCTTTCTTTTTGGCCAACCTTTTGCAGTCTTTTTTTCCTTCTTTTTTTCCATCCCTACCTCCAGCGGATAAAAACTTCTTATTTTATACCTTTACGCCGCTTATTGGTTTTTATTTTTACTTCTTGTTTCTTTCTCGCACATCGTTGCTTACTTTACAAGTATTTCGAACGATAAACTCGGTAGGAGATACTAAAACATTGCCCATGCTCTTTCATACTTTTTCAATCTGCTTTTTTTTCTACGTATAAATATAAATTTCAACGGGCACATGTACATGCATATCTAAGGTGCCATTACAACAGATGAGAATTAGACATTCTTACTTTGGAATTGATATGACGAATGTTTTAAAAAATTTAATACATAGAAGTTATGAATACAAAATCTTTTTGATAAAGTCAATGTTACCTTTTCGAATGCGTAAACTAATACTTGTTTAGTACTGTTAAAGATGTTCAGTAATAAGTATGTTGTATCTGTATCTATGAAATACGTACGTGCACGTCAATGGAATAGAATATTTTGGCGCTAAGAGTCCTAGATTAGCAGTAAGTAATAAAATATCAAGGCAGAAGAAAGGGGCAAGAAATTAAAAAAAGTGCGTCTAGTCTTGATTAGCGAGAGGGAAGTGCTTCGGTTCACAAATGCGCGTCTCGTAGAGCTATCTGTAAATAGTTGGGCGTGGGGACGCTGAAAGATTGTAGAATGCTCCCGATGGTAGTATTATTTATCGAAGGAGGTAGGGGATTTTCCAAAGAGCGCTTGATTCTGCATAAAGACGAGAAGACACTGTATAAAAGACCACACGCATGTTCCGCCCACAGATACGATATCAACGCGCGTATATATAGCTACAATCCAAGCTTTCAACGTGATCTCTACACGCATGTCTTTCGCCTCAGCAAAAGCTGTATTTGAGCGAGAAACTTTTCAATGGCCTCTTCCTCGATTCTCTTATCTTTTCCAATGCACAACTTTATGTCTAATTACGATACACTCGTCACCTTTTAACAAGGAACGAGAAGTTTTAATGTTTATCTTTTTACTTCACTTTTGTCCGCTTTTATACAAGAAATAATAATTTCACGACTTCATAATTTCACATTTCAAGTTTATAGTAAAAGTTTTAATTCCTATTTATGCAATTTCACGTAAAAAGCGAAAATTTGAAATACACGAAGTATAGAAAAAAAATTTTTTCATAGCTTTAAAGCCTTTAAGTATAAAAATATCTCTAACATATGTAAGAATAATAATAATAAATAATTTATAGACAACAGAAATGAGGAGAATGAGTTAATAGTTTCAAGTGCATACACAAGTGGCAGAAAAACAGTTTGGATATTTTATTTCTGATATTACGAGTTCGCAACTTTTTTCTTTACAAAGAGCATTAGGTTAAAAGCCTTATAAAAAGATCCGGTATAATTTGAGAGAAAATTTTTCAAATGCGAGTCCTTACTACCTCCAACAAATGGTTAAAATGAGTTTTTTGCGCGTATTTTGCACGTGTAGGTTGAGGTCCTTTTTTATGATTAAAAATTTCACGCCAAAGAAGTTTCGTTCCGCATATAATTGCAGCGAGCTTTGCCTCGAATTATTTTACCTTCATGCTCTTACAGCGAATACAATGGCTATCGTAATAAGGTTAGAATGGGAGCTAACCGGAATAATTGCCGAGCATGTACGCCGTTTAGTTCTCCGAGTCGAAAGATTAACTAGCTTCTACGTCGAACAGATTCAAGTCTCACTTTCGAAGAAAAGCTCGTAAGCTTGAAAGATACGTCTCGATGAAAATGTAATATGTTACAGCTATGCAATACGAAGTTCGAGATTTTTTAAATTCATGAATAACACGTGTATCCTGGAATTTTAAATAAGCCTAGCCAGAGAAAATTTCTCATTCGTAAATAAGGGAGAATTTTCAAAAATCAATCCGATGCTAAAATCTTAATTATGGAAAATTGTGCTTATTATGAATGAGTGCACGATAACTTCATTAACGAGTATAGAATTATTTCGTGAGGTTTTTGGTCTAACAATTTTTTTTATACCTAAACGCCAGTATCCTTATTTATGAGTGCAATAATTAAATAATTCAATTTAAAAATAGTCAGCGAGTACCCTATTTATGAATATAATATTGTTGTATGATATATAATTGTATTGTAATTGAAGTTAAAAACTCGAGAAGCTGATCATCCGAAGTAGTTTAAAACTCACGACGATTAACCGAGTGTATGAAGTAATTTACATTAACTTCATAAGTTCATGCTCAATGGCAAAATGGCGACATAAAATGATAACTGTTCTGGCAATAGCAAATTATTAGACCTTAAATAATACATTATCTGCTGGCTGATAATGCGGTCTAACATCTTGCTGAGGTGGGGTAGATTAACGATTGGTCTTGACTGCAGTGTCTAGAGGTGAGGGAATCGTGTTCGAGGAACGAAAGAGAGCCAAAGAGGAGAGAAAACGAAATAGTAGGAGCCTCGGGGAAACAAAAAACGCCGTGTTATTTTAATTAATCTGGACATTCCGTGGTGACAGGGCGTGAATCAGTCTCTAAATTATCGTTGCTCGCTATCAGCTTGGCACAACATGGTCAAAGAGGTATACAGAAAAAAAGAGCCATATAATAATATCAAAATAAAAAGGAGCTCCTCCACCGCTTGCTGCGAGCATTTGCACATCCGTTGAGATTAGGTTATCTGCGTTCAAGCTTCATTGCATTTACCCGATGAGAGAAAAAGGGGAGAAAAAAAGGAGCGAGGGAGATATTGCGAGTTACTAAGTAAAACCCAACGAGCATGGAGGTTGTATTTTGAATACTCTTCGGGCCCAAGCATTTGTCTTCACCTTTTTGGAATACTCTATCGTGAATATTTCTGAATTTTAACTTGGCACCAAATGAAATATTCTTATAATAAGGTTACAATAATAACAATTAAAAATATGTAAAATATTATTATTATATATTCTTTCATTAAATAATTGGAATTTAACAAGTGAAGCTTCGTTTAAAATGTATAAAAAAATTTTCAATGATCGATGATTATGATTCAAGAGAATGAAATTATATTTGTACCTAAAAATTATTCAAAATTGAATTCAAACTAATGACGTCAGCATTAGTCACGCAGCAAAGAAGGATGAAAAATTCTTCATTTGTTTATGCGTCTCAGGTTTTGGTACTTTCCGTAGAATAGCAGCAGATAACATTGATAGCTATAATATTGTTGAATAAAAAAAAAAGGAAGGAATTCTTTCAAAGTTGCTTAATAAGCAAGTGTGGACGCGTGGGTGAAAAGCTGCACCGACAATTATGTGACATTTGTTGTAGGATTCCCGTCGACGGCTCTCGACAGGAGGTCTCGCGCACGCTAGTGACTATTCCGCAGGACCCCTGTGATGCCGTATCATGCAGGCTCAGGCACGCATCAGCGCGCTCGCGCCTTTCATAAACTCACCCGAACTTATAACCTTCCTACCTGCCAAAAATGCGTATTCCTCGTTTATTCCGGAATCAGAACTCTGCCATAGCTTACGTATCACTTAGCTCAAGCTTTCGTTTGATTTGTCATCCTATAATGCCGCACAATAAAACGCCTGCAATTTCTTGTGCTTTTGAATACTCAATGCATTCTTTTCGT